ATAAGTGTTCTGGTGTTGTTGGCGTCAATAATAAAAAGATTAATATAATGTTTATTTTATCGAATAGGCTTTCCGGTTGTTCCAAAAAGCCAACAGTGTTTATACCAGATAACACTTGGAATTGTTTGTTCTTCCGCCTAGACCAACATATTAAATCAAAATGACAGAAGAAAGTTTGCCTTAAAATATACAAGATCCACATAAAACAACAAGACTAACTTATATTGATGACTAAATTGAGAGACGACTAACAAATACTCAAGTCAATTCGAATATAAATTCAAGTTCTCATTCTTTGCTAAAAATGAACTATATTTTTATGGTTTATAAATTATAACTTTTGAATCAAGGTTGTGTTATTAAAAAGTATATTAAAAATAGTTTTTTTTCAGGATAGTAAATAAACTATCAATAGTATGATATAAGCACTTCATTCCAATTATATGTTTTTTATTTTCTATAAGATTTTCATTGACCACTCTAAAAACAAATTTATCAATTTCAAATTCTATTTAAATTAAAAATAAAGTAAATAGAAAATTAATAAGATATTTGTGATGGTTTCCAAATTCAAACTATGTCGAAAATTCATTTCGAATTAGTGAAAAATGAGTGAAACAAAACATTTAAAAATATTCACAAAAAGCACCTAAACAGTCTGTTTGTACACCCATTCCACCCAGTTAACTGTCCTCTATCGGCGTGGACTTACCTGCTTAAGATCAATATTAGCGTTTATATGATAAGAACAAGGAAAGTGGGTGACATTGAAAAGCACGAACAGAAGCTGAAAGGTTGACTTTCTTCAAAAAATAATTGTGATATTTTTTGTAAATTAGTGGTAAATATTGGTATTATTTTCTATTGATTGTTTCTAATATTTATAATAATTATAGCTGTTCGGCGACTTTATAGTCCCTTTGAAAATTGCCGACTTTTCAGTGGTTTTAAAAGTCGCTGACCTAAATATTTAGTTAAATAATTATTCATAATATTATTTATCACGTAAAAGAAATTATAAAAAAATGAATCACATAAATTTAATATAATTATTATTAAAAAAAGAAATGAAAAAATACTGTCCCAATTATATCTTCTCAAATCATTTTTTAAATTATATTAATTTGATTATAATATAACAAATTATAACAACTATTGTGTTTTTACACATTTTTGAGACTATAATGAATATGGTATAATTTATTAAAGTTAATAGTTCTTTAGTTCTAAAAGTAGTCGGCGACTTTTGAAGTAACTCAAAAAGTCGCAGACTTCTCAGTAATATCAAAAGTCGCAGAACAGCCATTATAATATTTATAATTTTCACCATTTCCATCATTTTTTGTTTTTGTTTTTGTTTTTGTTTTTGTTTTTGTTTTTGTTTTTGTTTTGTTTTTG